GTGTGTGTGTGTGTGTGTGTGTGTGTGTGTGTGTGTGTGTGTGTGTGTGATCTTCTTATTCATTCATCAGTTGATGAACACTTGGGCTGCCTCCATAACCTGACTAGTTGTAGAAAATGCTGCTATAAACATCCGGGAGCATGCATCCCTTTGAATTAGTATTTTGTATTCTTTGGGTAAGTACCTACCAGTGCAATTGCTGGATTGCAGGGTAGTTCTATTTTTAACTTTTTGAGGAACTTCCGTACTGTTTTCCAGAGGAGCGGAACCCATTTGCATTCCCACCAACAGTGCAAGAGGGCTTTCTCCACAACCTCACCAAAACCTGTTGCTTCTTGGTTATTTTAGCCATTCTGACAGGTGTGAGGCGATATCTCACTGTAGTTTTGATTTGCATTCTCTGATGATGAGTGATGTTGAGCATCTTTTTGTGTGTCTGTTGGCCATCTGTATGTCCTCTTTGGAGAAATGTCTATGCATGTCTTCTGCCCTTTTTAAAAATTGGATTATTCATTTTGGGGATGATGAGTTTTATAGATTCTTTATTTTGGATAGTACCCTGTATCAGACATGTCATTTGCACATATCTTCTCCCATTCCGTAGGCTGTCTTTGAGTTTTGTTGTTTGTTTACTTTGCTGTGCAGAAGATTTTTATTTTGGTGTAGTCCAAATAAATTTTTTTAAGATTTTATTTATTTATTTGACAGAGAGCACAAGTAGGCAGAGAGGCAGGCAGAGAGAGAGGAAGGGAAGCAGGGTCCCTGCTGAGCAGAGAGCCTGATGCAGGGCTCAATCCCAGGACCCCGAGATCATGACCTGAGCCGAAGGCAGAGGCTTTAACCCAATGAGCCACTCAGGTGCCCCCAATAGTTTATTTTTGCTTTTCTCTTGCCTCAGGAGACATATCTAGAAAGAAGTTGCTATGGCCCATGTCAAAGAAGTTACTACCTGTGTTCTAGGACTGTTTTGTGGTTTCATGTCTCACATTAAGACAGACTTTTTTTTTTTTTTTTTTTTAAGCTAAATGTGGCTTTAGAGGGTTACAGAGCTCTTGTGATTTTGGCTTTTGAGTGGCAGCGGGTAAATGAATCTTAATCTTGGACTTTTATTAGAACAGTCTATACCCTCTAGATAAGAGGCCTGCTTTATCTCCTCTATTCTTCAGGATCTCTTCAAGAAAAAGAGGTGCTGGAGAAAGTCCAGGAAGAGAGAATGCGACATGAAAAAGACAGTGGCATCCATCCTCCCAGTCTCAAGACTGCTGAGCTTCTACACATATTCTTAGAAGTACCCTGTTCCCTAAACCTGGGAGGGGAAGCCCAGTACTCAGTGAAACTGGTTAACTTCAGTGACCAGGAGAAGGCAGTGCAGCTGACATCTGCCTTGCAGGCAATATACTACAATGGCATCCTTGCTGCTGAGCTCTGGAAGAGGAAGCAGTCCCTTATGCTCGGTCCCAAGGGTAATTTTATGGCCCCCAGATATCCCCAAACTCCAGCTTCCACCCTGACAGGTATCAGCCTAAGGGAACCCCTGAAGGTCTGAAGAGGTGGCTTCTAGCCCCTAATGTGCCCCCTGTTTCTCTGCCATTCAACACATATTTATTGAGCTTCACAGAGACCAAAGCCCCCACAATTCCGATTGCAGTCAGATAAGGAAACAGACAATGGTAGCAGTTAAAGAAGTGTTTGATAAGGTCAAGAGAGTACAATGGCAGGGGAGCATCTCACCCAGGATACAGCAGGCTGTTCCCAGGTAAAGCAGACTGCACTGGGTCTGAAAGGATGAATAGGAAGGGCAGTGAGAGCCAAAAAGTAAGTTACGAATATTCAAGGCACAGGGAAGAACATGTGCACAGGTTCTTCCTCCTCCCCCAAAGTCCTACTTCATTGGTCTGGGATGGGGTCCAGGCATTGGTATTTTTTAAAAGCTCCCCATGTTATCCTAGGGTTGAAAGTCCCTGGACTAGAGCAGTTGCTCTCAAACTTTGCTGCCTATCAGAATCACCTGGGGAAGTTTGATGCTCAGCCTGTATCCCAGATCAATTAAATTGGAAACCCCAGGGTTGGACCCAAACATCAAAAACTGTTTAAATTCATTGAGTGATTCCAATGTGCAGATAAGAGAGAATCAGTGGACTGGAGCTTGTCTACATTATTTCAACAGCTTCCTAACCAGCTCCCCTGCCTCCAATCTCTTCACTGTTTTACCTTTTTGAGGGGGGCAGAGTCTGGATCATGCAGGGACTTGTATGTCATGCCAAGGAGTTTGAGTTTTGTTCGTTGGGCAGTGGGAAGCTGGGGAAAATGTGAACTAGAGGGGCCTAGGTGATCAGAAATCCATTTGAAAAAAAAACAACAAAAAACTTTTGTCTGAGTGGAATGGAAGAGGTCCCATTAGAATAATGACTCTCACCCTTGGCTACATGTTGAATCACCTGGGGAACTTTAAAAATACTGCTGCCTGGGCCTCACTGCCAGAGTCTAATATAATTGATTTTGTTGTGTAGCCTGGCATTGGGACTGTTTTATAACGCTGTATGATTCTAATGTGCATCTAATGTTGACAACCACTGGATCAGAGGTTGGAAGGTTTTATAACGGTCAAGGCATGAAGGACAAATTAGACTAGCAGCACTTCCAATGAAGACATATTAAGGAGGTAGGATAGACTGGACTTGTGAATATGTGTGTGGGGGGCAGTGAGAGGGTTGCTTCCTCTCTAGAATAGGAAAAATGGGGGAGAGCACATATGGGGAGAAGGATGATGAGTTCTGTTTGTGGCATGTTGGGTTTGAAAGCCCATGAGACATCCAAACAGAGATGGCCAGTAGATGGCTAGACACCTAAACCTGGTATTCAAAATAAAGGCCTGGATTGGAGACCAGAGGTGGGAATCCCCGCACAGAGAGGGCTGCCAAGAGTCAGGGCATTGATGAGTTCCTGGGGGTGGAAGAAAAGTTGTGAGAAGAGAAGAGGGTGAAAGGGGAACCCAGGCAGCACCAGCATGTAGGGGGCAGGCAGGGAAAGAGCAGGGAATAAGAGAAACAAAGAAGTCAAAGAGAGGAAGGAGCAACCAGAGGGGCAGCAGAGTGGCCATGAGATGTTAAGGCTGAAAAGCAGACACTGAGGGAGTGGTCTTACTGAGAAGGGACGTCAAAGGCCAGCTTCCTGGGGGCTAAACAGATGAAGAGCTGAGGAAGCAAGACATAGTATGCGGTCCTTCCTGGAAGAACAGACAGAAAAAGGAGACAGGCTGAGTGGTGGCCAGCCAGGGACACTGGGTAGAGCGAGGGCGTTTTTTTGTTTATTTAAGATCAGAGAGCAGAATCTGCTTATACACTGAGGAAAATAATCAACAGAGAGGGAAAGACTGAAGCCTCAGGAAAGATGGGTTATAACTGATGGTGCAACCCTTGGGGGACTAAGAAGCAACTAGAATAACTGTAGTTACTTTTGGTAAACACAGTGTTAAGTGTTCCATATGCATCACCGCACTTATCCTTACAACAACCTTCTGAGGCAGCAGCCATTATTATCCCCACTTTACAGATGAGGAGATCAAGACACATAAAGGTTACATAATTTGCCCAAAAGTTACACAGCAGGCAGTGGTGGGGTCAAAATGGGGCAGAGACGTTCAGAGTGGAGGGTCTGACTTGGGGAGGGAGGACATCTCATCTTCCTGGAGGTGGTAGCAGGAAGCAGGGGTAGATGACCAGTCTACGGGTTGGGACTAGGAACATGAGCTTGAGAAGATTCCTAGACAATAAGGGATGGCTTCATTTTCTCTGCAAAAGGGAAACAGAAGCAGCAGAGAATAAGAAGGAAGTAAGTAAGCATATATTCAGCAACGACTGTGTGGCAGAGTCTGAGATAAGCACTCAGTATCTCAATTTAACACAAGCCACCCACCAGGTAGGCGTTATTATTAGAAAAGGAATCTGAGGCCAGAGAGCTTAACTTGCTCTAGTCTGCAGGGGCCTTCCACAGTCACGCTGAGGTGGTCTGGCAAGAGCGTTGGAGGAGGCAGTGATGGCGGTAGGTGGTGGGATCTTGACGGAGTTCCAGTTTGAAATTGCTGTGAGAAATGAGGCATCTTTCTGACTTCAGTAAGATACTGACTCCTTTGCACTATGTGTAATATTGCCTGTTGCCAGGGCACACACACCCATGATTTGCACTGACTCTGCCTGTTTTGTGTTTCAGCTGACTCAATCACCAGCAACCTGTCTTTCTCCTATTTTGAGCAAAGCCCACCAGAGAACAGCTTCCTCAGACTCACTGTCATGGCCACGGCAACGCACTCTGAGTCCAGCTTTAGCTGCTTTGCTCAGGAAGACATCGTCATTTGTAGACCACACCTTACCATTGAGGTAGGCACCAGTCCTTCCCCAAGTCACTCTCATTTGCTCCTGTTTCAGAAGGAATCAGAGCCCCTCAAGCTTTAGGGCAAACAACCATGCTCTAGGATTACCAGAAAATGTTAGGTTGAGAGCTCCTTCTCTTGAAAGAGATGGTTAAGGTATACATCTTCCAACTTCTTTTTTTGGTTCCATAAAGATTTTGAAAAGCAGGGCCTCTCCACTTGCTGCCTCCATTCTTGAATAATACTAGCCTATATTTATTTAGCACTTTATACATATGCCAATGTATTTTCACCTTCTTTAATACAAAAACCCTGTGAAGTGGAACCATTCCCATTATTCAGATGAGGAAACAATCCTGGAGATTATCATACCATGATCATGAAAATGGGATGTTTCAGAGGCTTATGGCTCTTGATCTAGTCCTCTTTCCACATGTCTACCCTGACCAAAATGAATGTGATCTGGTCCCAGCCCTCAATGAGTGTATATTATAGTTAAGTAAAGGAGGCACAATGTTAGGTCTTTTATGTAAGTGCTTCAATAGAGGTATGAAGTCACTGTGACATAAGTTAAGTAAGGGGATTAATTTCAGCTGGTGGGTTTGAGGAAGACTTACTAGAAGGAGGCATTTATGCCTGGCCTTGAAAAATAGGTAAGCTTTAGTGCAGAAGTTGAGGAAGGCCACTGCAGGCCAAAGACTGAGCAGAGAGGCCCCAGTAAAGGGAGTCTGAGGGGGGTGCTGGGATGTCATTTAGTCAAGGGAAGAACAGATAAGTCTGGAGAAGGGGATTAGGGTCAGACCATGAAGGGTTCTGTATGCCTACCAACGCTGAATTCTGAAGACAATGGGAACCCCTCCAAGGTTTCTAGGTAGAGGAGAGAAACTACCAGAGATGGCCACAGGTGAATCAAGGCAAGGGTAAGTATCAATTCAGGAAGACCAGATAGAAGGGTAAAGAAGTCAGGTGTGGAGTTTGGGTGTGGATGGCAGAGACAAGAGAGTAACTGAGGAGAGTACAGGGAGGATGCCTAGGGGGGGAAGCAGTAAGTGCAGCCCTGTGCTCATGGCATCCACTCCAGGTTTTGCCTCTTCCCACAGATGCCAGAGACAGCAGAGCAATATCAACTTCTTAAGGCTTCAGTCCAGCTCCATAACTTCCTAGATGCTCCCTTGAAGGACTGTGTGATCTCCCTCTTTGGAAGGGGCCTCATTCACAGAGAGAGGAGGTATAGGTAAGAGACCACAAGCTTCTCGGGACACCTGGGTGGCTCAGTTGGTTAAACATCTGCCTTCAGCTCAGGTCATGATCTTGGGATCCTGGGATGGAGTCCTGCATCTGGGCTCCCTGCTCAATGGGGAGCCTGCTTCTCCTTCTCCCCCTCACCCCACCCACCCTTGCTTGTGCTCTCTCAAATAAATAAAATAATTTAAAAGAGAGAGAGAGAGACTGCAAGCTTCTCATCTCACTGAAACAACTCTACTTGTTAGAAAGGCAGGGATCCAAGATTAATGACTGTCTTTTTGCTGTGTTCATAGAGATAGAAAAAAAGTACCTTCTAGGGGCACCTGGGTGGCTCAGTGGGTTAAAGCCTCGGTCTTCAGCTCGGGTCAGGATCCCAGGGTCCTGGGATCGAGTTCCGCATCGGGCTCTCTGCTCAGCATGGAGCCTGCTTCCTCCTCTCTCTCTCTGCCTGCCTCTCTGCCTACTTGTGATCTCTATCAAAAAATAAATAAAATCTTAAAAAAAAAATACCCTCTAGAAGCAGAACTGAAAGATTAGGGCCTCCCTCCTCCTGGAAGACAGGAGTGAGGAAGTGCCCCACGGGCATCCACCTGACCCCGATTGCTGCCCTGGTCATGCAGGAAGAGGTTTGGTATTGCTGGTAATTGCAGGCAAGGAGTTAGGTCTGCATACTAGAAAATATCCCAGAAAGCTCAGGCTGCCTCTTGGTATGGCCAAAGAGCTGCATTCTACTAATGACAACTAATGAGCTGTTTTGGAGATTCATCCACATGTGTTAAGCCCACTGCTCTGGCAACATAAGGCTTCATTTGGTACATCCGTACTTTCTACCATGCCACTCTACAGTGATGGGCACCCAGAGAGCCTCCAGCTCTCAAACATCACAAATACTATCGCAATAAACAGCCTCACACGTCTTCTTATATACTAGCTTGAAACTCTGGTCGGGGAGGAAGGAATGTACATCACAGGATCTGGTTTGACCGGGTACTATCAGACTTGTCTGCACAATGACTGCAGAAGTCCACACCCCCTCCAGCAGTACAGGAATTTCTATATTCTTATCATTTCTCCACTTTTCTCCACTCTTGGCCATACTCAGCTTCCTTTTTTCCAAATGGAAGTAAGGTAATATCTCATTATTGTTTTGATTTGCAACTCTTCATATGTTTATTAGCCTTTTCAGTTTCCTCCTCTGTAAAATATTTGTTTTTAACTTTGCCTACTTTCCTTTTGGTGTTCCTGCCTTTCCTCCTTGTTGATCTGTAGGAGTTCCCTGTATGAGTCCTTTGCTGGTTTCAGATGTTGCAAGTATCTTCCTTCATTATTTCTTCTCTCATTGTGTCTACCACATCCTTTGCTGAAAACACAGTATACAGTTTAGAGTTCACGGTGCTTACTCATGAAATCCCTGGTAGTTTTCTGGTTATTGAGCCAATGCCTCAGCCTTATAAAACTCAATGAATCACTATTGCCAGTAGATTGAGAGAGGAGAGACTGTCAACATTTAACTATACTTTCCTGGTATCCCAGATCAACCATGGGGGAAAGCTCCTCAAAGGAAATCTGTGCTACTCTCTTAGTCACTATGAGAAGGTGCTGATAGGATGCCAAACACCATCTGTTAACAGACTGACATCTTCTGTATATGTCCACTGTACCCTCACAGCACTTAGCAATGTGAGGGATCCAAAACCACAGCCTTCCCAAACATACCCTGGTACTACTACCAAGAGTGGGACCAGTTACAGGCGATAAAAGAAATAACAGATGCAGCTTGGAAGCCCTTAAATTAGGATATTTCTCTTCTTAACCCTGCAATTGTTTGCCATAAGGAGGCTTCTGTCTTCTAACTCCTTAAAACTTCCCCTGTTTCAACAGCAAGGTACTTAAATGTTTATTTCTTCACAGTTCACCTCTTCAAGCAGGGAAGGATCAGAGTCACTGGGACTAGCAAAGCAATGGGACAGAACTACCACCTGCCTTTTCCTTTATTTCAGATTAGCTTCTGTATGGCCTGGAAACATCTTATACACTGAATTCCAGTTCACACCGACACAGGTGGGGCTCCAGAGGCTCACTGTGGAAATGGACTGCGATATGTTCCAGAACGTAACCAACTACAGAAACGTCACTGTGGAAGCCCCTGAACTTCCCGCTTAAACTTCCATTAAGTATCCCTTAATTAAAGTCTGATATTGATAACATGAACTCGGCCCACTAGAGAAATATGAAAACTATTAAGTATATAGAAAACAGGCCCTAGGAGATAAAAATAAAAGAACTGTACTCCTTTTGTACAAAGTTATCATTTTTGTTATTTACAGTATTTTGTTGCTTTGGCACTCTCTCAGTTTTACTTCATTTCCTTCTGAAGTATAGAATGGCGCTTGATAAAAGTAAATTAAAACTCATTTGACAAAGAATTTCAACTCAAGTACACACAAACTGCTCAAAAGAATGACTGCTGTAGCTGATTAGAACTAAAAAGACCATGGGGACACATCAAAAGGGCAGATGGGATAAGTTACACCCATGCAAGGAACAAGACTGGCATCAGACATTGTGGAGACCTGCAGACCACGTCAGGTCACCAGAATGCACATCATACAGGTTTACCCTGCTTTCCGATATGTGATCTTATAGACCAATGCAAAAATACAATTAAATCATGATGGCCATGCAAAAGGATTAACTAAAAAGGCCCTTAAAACCATATAAACTCTCTTATACATTTACAAATTTTTGATGTATAAACATTTTGTATTTACATTTGGAACGACATGTAATGTAGGAAAGAACAAGCATGTGTTAAGAAAAACAAACCTGTTCAATAAAGTGGGCAACCTAACAAAATGAGCTCAATACTATGAAATAATTTTGGAGGCATGGGTGGAATAACATTTAGAAGGACTTAATGTTAAGAATGATGATATTATGTAACTGCTGAAGCACTTAACGGAGCTTTGAAGTCATCTTCTCTAAATAAAGTCAGGTGTTGGATGCCTGGGTGGCTCAGTCGGTTAAGCACCTGCCTTCAGCTCAGGTCACAATCCCAGGGTCCTAAGATCGAGCCCCATATTGGACTCCTTGCTCAGTGGGGAGCCTGCGTCTCCCTCTGCCCATCCATTCTGCTCATGCTCTCTGTCTCTCTCTCTCACTCGCTCTCTCTCAAAATAAATAAAAATCTTAAAAATAAATAAAAATAAAGTCAGGCATTTTTGTTCTAAATACAGTTCTGATCAGAATCAGATCTTTAGACCCACAAATCCAAACGAAACCAATGTGCTAGTCTCAACCCACTGCATTTCTGGTAGAAAGAAACTTTGGAAGGTTACTTACTGAACTACTGGCAGGTCACCATTTTATTAAGATTATCAACATGTTTAACAATGAAACAACACACTTTATTGCAAATAGGGAATAAGGTAGCTTCTACACAAATCTCTGAAAGGTGATTCAGGAACACAAACTCATGCAATTACCTTTTGAATCTAGCACAGAAAAATATATCATACTCATATAGTTATAAATAACTGCCAGTCTGGCCTAACCAACCAACAATCTTTGGTAACAATGTCTCTTGACAAGCATGGACGGGAACTCCCTTTTGATCAGGAGAGCATTCTAGCCTCATTTTAAAAGCAGACATCAGAGGCTACCTGTGATAGTAAGGAAAGGAGAGAGGAGAGTACAAAGGAGCCTGAAAACTCACAATTCAAGTTCATTCTGAGTGAGTTCCTTGATTCTGTTCATGCAATGATCAACAGCATTAATGAGTAAAGGGATCCAACTATCTTCTGGCTGTGGGGTCACATGACTTGCTCTGCAAATGGAATGGGGAAAAAGAGTAGTTAAATTTATACTGGGAAGGCGAAACCTACTCTCAACAAGGAACACAAAAACTAGTAAGAAAAGGCAAATTTCTTTGTAGAAACTTAGCGGCTCCACAACTGAAGTGGAAAGAAAACACCACACCCAACTTCTTCCACTTCTTAAAATGGGGCTTTGGGAATTGAGAATGACTGGATGGGTTTATTCTCTAAAAAGCTATTTGATGAGAAGTCCTCATACTCACTTAGCAATTTCAAGTGCCTTCTTTAAGACAGATACAAGTTTCGCAGACTAGAAAAGAAACAAAGAAGTTACTCACCCTGAGCGCCACGTAAAAAGGGAAGGAGAGCTAAGATATACTAAAGGACTCAAGTAATAAACTATAAAAAAAAAAAAGGCAGAAAAAAATCCAAACAAAAAACCTTGAAGGAAACTGCAAAAACAAAAATTCTGATTAGATTAGGGTGGCAGGATTATAGGTTTCTTCTCTATTTACAAAATCTTATTAATAGTGTTGCTATAACATTCCTGTAAGTTTTTAAAAAATTTTTAATACTTTTAAATTTAAAAAAACTAGAAAAAATTAGAATTTAACCTGAATTTATCCCAACTGCAGTTCTAAATATATAGTAGAAACAGGTAGTGTTCTTTTTTAAAAAAAGAATATGTACATAATTTTAAGCACACCAGTAACAAGATAACATGAAAACATATGTATTCCACCAATCTATGGTACACATTTTAAAATTTTTATTTGGGGTAACTGACAAGGCATATTACTAAAGATACTTATTTCTTAGGAAGTCAATTTTTTAAAAAAGTGAATGGGAAAAAAAGTTAACACCATTCTACTTTAAGGTGTTCACATACTGTGAAGATAAATTAGATGGTGGAAATTCATCAACTATATCAAATATTTCAGGACAGATAGTTCTGAATGTAAGATATAAGCCATTTGGCAGTTTTACTTCTCCTTCCAATAACTATAGAGATAATCTGAGTCTCTAAAAATGAGACAAGAGAATTCTCTCTAGCACAGGACTCAGGATGTGAAAAAATAAAATAAAACCATATTTTTATAAAGACCTTGACCCTCTGTAGTTCAATCGCCCAATGTGTTTATATTAGAACAGAGTATGTTTCTGGACACAGATTTTTGCCTACACCAGAAATCAGAAACAGTGATTTTGGGTTAACAGGATCCTAAAGTAGTGTGGTCATTCAGACTTTCTTTTCAAAGTAGCATTTTCTAAGGTCTTTGGATTCTTCTAAGTGATTACCCAAATGGTTACAGAACAGAGTACTACCAGAACTCAGGGCTTCAGTAAAGATTTATCAAGCAGAAATACATGTAAGAACTATGACACTATTGTTATATTGGCATCTAACTGACAAATAAATGTATTTCCTATAGCTTAAAGGAAATACTAGTAGGTAGTAAAATCCTACCAGTTAGGTCAGTAGCTTTTCCCTCAAAGCTGGTACTTACATTGATTCGCACAGTCAAGTGGCACATGGGTGGATATATGCTCAGAGCCAAATCATCCACACTAAGGGCAGAAAGCAAAAATAACCATTAACAATAAAAGGAACAAAGCTCAACTGGGTAGTTTCCAGTGATGTGACCAGTGAGAACCTAACTGTCCGTAAATGCCTATCAATTCCTTAAATTGGGTAACCAGAATCAATTCAACTGGTATTTACTAAACACATACATACCCCATTTCATTAGAAATGGGGGGGGGAAAAAACTCCCTTGGCCTTTATGGTAGGACATGATTAATTCAGTTTAAAATGGGAGGCTCCGAGGTCACCTGGGTGGCTCAGTGGATTAGGTGTCTGACTCTTGGTTTTGGCACAGGTCACATCTCCAAGTCCAAGTCTGGAGATTGAGCCCCACCCCTCTGGGCTCCATGCTCAGTGGGGAGTCTGCTTCCCCTCTCCTTCTCCCTATGCTCCTCCCCGCTCCCTTGCTCATTGCTCTCTCTCTTTCAAATATTTAAAATGGGGGGATCTGAAACCATTAATTTAGTAACTGATGCAAGTGGAGTTCATCCATGGAACAGCACTCAAGTGGGCACTACTTTAACCAAGTGGTGAAATTTAGTACCACCGGGGTGCCTGGTGGCTCAGTCATTAAGTGTCTGCCGTCGGCTCAGGTCATGATCCCAGGACCCTGGGATCCAGCCCCGCATTAGGCTCCCTGCTCAGTGGGAAACCTGCTCCTTCTCCCACTCCCCCTACTTGTATTCCCTCTCTCCTGTCTCTCTCTGTCAAATAAATAAAATCTTTAAAAAAAAAAAAAGAAAGAAATTTAGTACCAACAAACTAACATGTCCCTTGCCCACATGATGCAATGAGAGGCACAAAATACTCAAATACATGATGTCCTTGCCAAAAAAATATTTAACTTGAAAATAATCTATAATCATGACAAAGACAATAATGTGAATCCAGATTTTTGGATATTCTGCAAGACAACTGCCCTTTAAAAAGTCAATGTCAAAAAATACTAAAAAGGGCAGGGACTGTTATAGTTGCAAGAGACTACAACCATACGAGACTACTCCAAGAGATGATAACCAAATGCAATGTGACACCATGACAGAACCCCAGATTAAAAAATAAAATTTTAAAGAAGCAATAAAATACATTTAGAGACAAATGGGAAAATTTGAATATTAAATATTATTCTATTTAATGTTAAATCTCTTGGATGTAATAACAAGAATATTTGTTCTTAGGAGATACATGCTGAAGAATTTAGGGGTGAAATGTCACTGATGTCTGCAACCTATTCTCAAATGGTTCAGGAGAAAACTGGCACATCTAACCATAGAGAAATAAACCAATACTGAAAAAAACATCTGAGCAACAGGTGAATCTAGCTAAATGAAGGATATATGGGTGTTCACTGCAATACTTTTTTTTAACTTTCCTATAGACTGAATATTTTCAAAATAAAAAACTGGGGGAAAAGCTTGGGGTGACAGCACAAGCTAAGATCACACACTGCTACTCATATGTTTCAAGTGGGGATCCTGCTTACCTAGGGCTGATCTCATCAGAAATATCCACAATGTCATCCAGCTGGGCGACCTGATCTTTCTTCCCATTCTCTGCCACTGAGATCCGGATTTTCTTCAGGCAGGCTTTGGATGCTCTCACCAGTGCAAGACATGGGATTATGAGCTCTTGATCCTCCTCTGACCAGTATAAGTCCCGATTGTTTGGACACCCCAACCTATCATCCTCTTCATCACCTTGGCTGTCAGAGTTGTCCTCAGTGTCATTTAAGAGGCCACAGTATGGGTCACATTCTTCCACGGCCTAAGATATGCCAAAAAAAAAAAAAAAAAAAAAAAAGAGAGAGAGAGAGAGAGACTGTTATACTTTCAGCCTCATATCTGAGTTATCCCAAAACATCACCCAGCTACTTCACCAATGGCCACACTTGAATCACTTCATAAACCCC